CTCGGTAGAGCCATCACCGTCTGGGGGGTGCAGAGTTTGTGTAACTGCCCCGACTCCCAATTTCGGGGTGGCCAACAAACAGTTCTTTGCTGCCTTCCAGGTCTCCTGCTCTTGTATGGCCTTCCGCAGGACCTGTACAACTTTTCCCACAACTCGAGGACATCATCTCCTCGAACAACGCTTTAGTGCATTTATCCCACACCTCAGGGTGGAGAATATCCACTGGCTGGTCAGTGACCCCAGTTTGTAAAAGCCTCGCAACTGCGAGAGTAAAATCTCCAGTACAAGCCTCAGAGTTCGGCTAAGACCAAACAGCTGAGATTGCTTCTTACGTCCATCGTTACAGAACTGGTCCCTTAGTCAAGGGAACATGACCTTTGTCTGCTAAGCATGCTTCCACACATCCTGACCTCAGACTCTTTGCAAGGTCTTGCTTGTGGGCCCTTGCTGAGCTGCCTGCTAAGACAAGATCAAGGGGTGATTCCTAAGACGGGCCAGTGTCCATGCAGTGGTTCCGAATGAAGCCATTGGAGACGGGTTTCTTCAGTGCTTGTCCCCAGCAAGACGCGTGCTTGGGGACATGAATGTGCCGCAGGACACAGGAAGTGAAGGAAGATGAAGGGGCTGGAGCATCTGTGCTCCGATGAGGGGCTGAGAGAGCCCCTTCCTCTCCCCCCCTCTCCAGCCCACAGTCACATCCCGCTCAGAGGTCACAGAAAGCGACTGCCGCATTCAGGCTAGAGCGAGGCTTTATTTGCACTCTGGTTGTGTAACCGCGGTCCCTGCCCTTCATCTTCTCAGCCTTGTCCCTGCCAGGGCCACTTTGAAGGCCCCTCCTGGGCGCTTTCTGCCCTGGATTCAGCTGGAGTAGCGGAACTGGCTCCATGCTGTTTGCTGCCACCACCAGTATTGGTCCTGGCTGGGGCTGTGCCACTGCCATGTCCACCTGTCCCTAGGCATCCACACTGGAACTGCCTTGAGGGCCTCCTGTGTCCCTGGGCACGCTGTGATCATGGCAGGATCCCTCTCCAAGATCTAAGTCCTCTTCATGTCCCTCACATCTATCTTCTTGCCCCAGCTCCTGGCCCTCTCCTTAAAGCCCAGACAGGTCTCGGGCTGGATGTGCCTCCTGCTCCAGCTGGGTGGCTTTCTGCCAGGGCTCAGGGAGGTGCTGGGTGCTGGTGTGGCTGCAGTGGGGGCCAGGGGCCACCTGCTGGCATGCAGCCCTGCCCCACCCTGCTCCATCTCCAGGCGTTTCCTTGCAGTGTGTGCCTGGAGTTTGCTGTGCACCCCCTGGCTCAGCTCCGGCCTGGAGATGCGAACAGCCACCGAAGCACTGGGCTGGCTCGTGTCCGCACGGCTGGCCTCCCGCCTGCTTTGGGGAGCGGTGAGGTGGGTCTGACGGCCGACATCTCTCCTTTGCGGGCCTGAAGCTGGTGCTGGTCCTTTTGCCGCTTCCCCTGCCTTGTGGGCTGGCTTGGGAAGGGCTGGCTTGGGAAGGGCTGGCTTGGGAAGGGCTGGCTTGGGAAGGGCTGGCTTGGGAAGGGCTGGCTTGGGAAGGGCTGGGAAGGGCTGGCTTGGGAAGGGCTGGCTTGGGAAGGGCTGGCTTGGGAAGGGCTGGCTGGGCTGAGGATGAGCCCCGAGGCCACGGGAACGGCTCCCGCTGCAGCAGCTGTCCACGCGGGTGAAGGAGGTTCTGAGCGGTGCCGGTCTCTGGGGCTGGTGCTGGGCTGCAGAAGCAGAGGGCACCACCAGGAACGTGCAGGCGCGACTTCAAGCTGTGCTGGCCGGGCAGCTCCTGCCGTCCCTCCATGGGCTGCCCCGTGGCGCTGGCCTGAGCCAGGGTCCGGGCCTCCCATCTGCTGTGCTCCCGAGGGAGCTGCAGGGCCGGAGGCATGAGCAGTGGGGGAGGGCACGGCACCAGCAGATTCAGGGACTCCTCGGTGGGGTTGGGGTCCCCCCACAGCTTCCGGACTTCCTTCTCTTTGATGGGCTTTGCCTGCATCCAGGGCGGCATCCTGCAGTGTGGTAAGGGCCGGCTCTGCCCGGGCCGGATGAGCTTTGGCTGCACACGGCGGCCCTGCCGCTGCACTGCCTGCTCCTGGGAGAGTTGCACCAGCACGGGCAGGGCCCCCAGCTGCACTTCCAGACTTTTCCTGGCCACGTGCATCTTCAGTGCTGAGCCGGCTCCCCGGGCACACAGGGACCCCGGGGAGGAGGCAGAGCCCAGCCGCACGGGGCTCCCTGTGTCCAGGCTCAGGCAGGCATCCGTCGGGCTCTCAGGGCTGCCAGGTCTCGTGGAGAAGCCGGAGCAGCTGCGGCTGTGGCAGGAGAGGCAGCCCCTCTTCCGCAGCGGCTGCAGCCCCCTCCCCGCTGCCTGCCAGGTGCCGTGGTCCTGTGCAGGCACTGAGCCCATCCCCAGCGGCGGTGACAGCGGCACTCGCTGCAGCTCCCAGGCAGCCCCGGTGCAGTGCGGGCAGCCGGGGCAGATCCCACGCTTGCCACGGGCAAAAGAAGGATCAGGGCCTGAGCCATGGAGCTGGGGACACAGGGGCCCCCAGGGGCTGCCTAACTGCACTGGGGTCAGGCTGCCCTGAGGGGCCCTGCTCTGCCCTGTCCTGCCCTGGGGACAGGCCCAGGTACCCCCTGAGTCACAGGGAGGACACACAGGGACCTTTTGTCCCTCCGGTGCTGCCGCTCGCTGCCACCATCTCCAGCATCGCCAGCTCCACTTCTCACCCTGTGGGAACAGAGCAGAGCTCAGGGCCCTGCCAGGGAGGACCCCATCAGCACCCACCCGAGTGACCCCTGGCTCTGAGCAGCCCCTACCTTTGGCCGTCGGGTGATGATGAACAGGATGGTGCCCACAGCCAGGATCAGGATGCTGAGGCAGAGGAGGCAGTTGGGGTCTGTCATTGTCCAGGGCCCAACATGGACGCAGAGCAGGGCAGAGCGGGGTGTGTACATCGCATGGACGCTGCTTCCCTGCTCCCAGTTCCTGCCTGCCTGCTTCGGAGCAGTCAGGCACTGTCCTGCCCTGGGAAGAGCAAAGGTTTGACCAGGAGCGTCACATACAAGAGCAAGAGCTGCAACGGCATTAGCTTTCGCTTTAGGACAAGCCCTGACGTGGTGGGGTGTCGCACAGGGGGGGGTTGCTGCAAGGCCCCCCCCCCAAAGGAGCTGCTCTACAGTTCTGTGCTTCTCCCTTTTCTCCTCCTCTCCCCCTTCCCTTTCTCCTTCCTTCCCCATCAGCCTGGCCATTAAGAGACCTGAGGAAACCTGTGCAAGCTTTCCTGCCCCTGAGCAGCCTCCCAGCCTTTACTCACCTGGAGCAGCTCTGCTCAGCACCATGGGCATCCTGGCCCTGTGCCACGGGTCCAAGTCTCTCCCTCTGCCGAGTGCGCATCTCTCCCCAGGGAGCTCAGCACACAACGCTCGGCCAAAGGAGCCTTCCCCCCTGGAGCCTGCAAGGAGCCTGCGTCTGCTTTTGGAGCCCAGAGCCCGGTGATGTCACTGGGGGGCATTGTGACGCTGCTGACATCGCCCCCTTGGGAGCCCCGGGGGTGCCAGCGCTGTCCCTGGGGAGCTGCCCACGGGGACAGGGCGCGGGGCACCGCTCCCAACCTGCCCCGCCCTCCCCGCCCCTGCGGCCAGGCCGGGAGCCGCTTTCCTGCCCCCCTGTTCCTGCAGGAGAGGTCAGTGCCGGGAGCGGGAGCGCTCGGAGATGCCCCCGGTGCCGCTCGCCTGCCCCGGGATGGGCCCTGGCTCGCTCCAGGCAGCGCGGGCAGCTCCTGAGGCTTCTGTGTCTCAGGCCGGGGCTGCCCCCAGGCAGGGCTGAGCTCCGCATGGCTTTGGGTTGCAGGGAGGTGGCGCACGGGGACCACTTGGACAGGGGCAGCTCTTGCCCTGCCAACAGAGGCAGGGGTCCCGGGCGGCGCCGATGGAGGCGTCTGAGGAGCCGTGGGGCCAGGAGCCCCCCAACGACGGAGTCTGCCCGGGCTCCTGCAGGCACCGCTTCTGCTTGCCCTGCATCCAGGAGTGGGCCCGCAGGACAATAAATCCTCCCATTGCACTGAAATCCTGAGCAGCACTGTAATTACTTTTGAAAAGAGAACTTTCTGAAACCCAGAACTGTATTTTGAGCCTACACAGACACAGGATACTAGAAAAGGCAATTCACTGTAGAACGGTGGGGATGGGCGTGAGGTTTAGGTATGCCAAAGGATGAGGTTCTAGGAGTCTGGAAAACTCTCACCCCCTCCTGCATGAGGAAAACTAACTGCTCTGTCCAAGGCTGGGATGGAGACTGCATACTCAAGGAACAGGAGCGAATCAACTTCCAGAAAGTAAAGCCTCAGCAAGCATAGACTGAACCACACTTTGTTCTCCACACTGAGTCTCTTTTTGGTGATGAGTACTGGGACCTTGCAAGGGAATACCAGAGCAGTAAACCAACAACAACTATTAGTTTTAGCAAACTTCCTGAGTCTGCAACACTGACTGCTTCCACTGAGAGATGAGCAGGACTTCAGGCTCACTCCAGCATAACTGTGGGGCTCCACAGACCACCTGGATTCAATACTCCAGAGTACTTACTGGAAAGGAGCAGCAGCGTGTTGAAGAGCACATCTCTCTCACACCAGATCTGCTCCTGAATGAGCCTCTGCTGCTCCTTGAGCTGCCGGGAGCCTTCTTCACGCAGGCGGATTATCTACAGCAGAGGGGAGACAGCACAGGCACGAGGGCACAGTTCCATGGCTGGTTCTTGCCAGCTAAAGGCTGCCAAAGGGAGCTTTTATCTTACACCCACCTCCTGTGGCAACCCTCCTGCTAGTTCACCTGCTAGAGCTCCAGCACTCATAATCGGACCACTCATGTTCCTCAGCGCCCATCGGCCAGCATATAACCCATTAGCTGTTCTTATTGTCTGCTATGGCAAAAGAGGGTGGACAAAAAAGATAACATCCCAAGTCTGGCACATGCCAGACTGCTATAAGATCTCTTCTCCATGCCCCTTTTGGAGAGTCCATTAATCCAAATGGCTGGAGGTCTGCTACACAGATTTGGTGCATCACATCCCATGGATTTCATTATGAAACCAAAGACTTTCAGCTATTCTTTGTAAAAGCAGCAGAGAAAACTCTTCAGAATTTATCATTCCTTCTTGTTCTAATGATCTCGTTGTCCTGATTTCCTCCTCTTCAGTCTCACAGGCCTGAGCTTCTCGTTCTCTGGCTTCAAGATCTGCAGAGAAAGCAACCAAATTAGAACAATCCAAAGGGAATTTTCACTGACCAGAGGTGGATGCAAAGAAATAAACTTGGCTACACCTACACCAGTTTCAGGGTAGAGCCCTGACGGCTCTGCTACCTCTCCTCTGCCAGTGTATCACAGTATTACAGTCCTCCAACCGCCTGATCCCAGAGCAGAACCATCCCACCTATGGCTGGGGGAGGAGATTTCAGAGGGCTACAGCATTGTACTGGGCACAAGGAGGCCACAGCCATGGCAGACGAGCAGCAGATGAACCCGTGGCCAATTCCAGCAGCAGCAGAAATGCAGACACCAGCTAAGGAAGGCTTCAAGCCAAGAGCAAATGAAGGTTTGATGTCATTACCGAGCTTCACTTTCTTCCTCTTCTCATCAAGTGCCTGTGTCCTCTCTGCAGCCTGTTTCTTGGCCTTTCGCACCTTGTCATATGCCGCCTGTCAAAGAACAACACAACGGTATGAAACTGTGCAAAGTGGGAGGAAGAAACAGAAAGCAGTGAATAAAGGTCACATCAGACATTGAAACACTATAAACAGAGGGAAAGATCTGCTGCTTCCTGCTGACATTGCTCCTGAAAGTGCTGGAAGCTCACACAAATACCCTGGGGACATCAGAAGAGGCCCACGGGTCTCCAAATGGAGCCTGAAGGGGTGAGGGAGTCTGTAAGTAACTGCAAAGCATACTGGAGAGAAGGTCTGCCCCTTCTTCAGAGATGGCAACAATACTTTGGGGTCCCGAACATGCGCAAAGCAGCTTTAGGGGCGCTCGTAACAGATCGGGGTTGGTTTAGAGCAAAGGTTTACAGTTAAAAAGGTCTGTTTTCCATGAAAGATTCATACAAGATGGGCATCAGACTCACATGCATGTGTGAGATCAAAGAGCACCAGAAGTCTTGAGCAGCAGTAGCACACCAACATTCATTGAGCACTACAGAGACCTCAGAACTGGGGGAATCCAGCTATTTCACTGGCACCTGCTTAAACCAGTTAGCAATCTCTTCATCAGCCTACGCAGAACCTGTCTGTACTACCCAAAGCACAGACTGGCACAGTGCTCACATCTTACTTGTAGAGTAGCCGTAGAGGAAAGCACTGCTCTTGCTTTATAGACTACAGAAGCTGGTGTTTTCCCTTCCTGCATGGGAGGGGTTTGCTAAATACCTTCTCCTTTTCAAAATGTAGAAGCCAAAGAGCTCCTGGATGCCAAAAGCTAAATTGCCCCTTGGCAGGGAGATCACAAACCTTGCCAGTGTTTGAACAGAGGAGAGTTACCTCATGTCTTTAAATCTTATAACCTGAAGTTTCAGCATTCCTTCTCTCCTCAGTTTATCTGGATATAGTCACCTGCTCGGTTTTATCTGGTTTTATTCCTCCGCATCACACATTGAGATTACTTGCAGGCCTCAAGCAGTGGGCACTCAACCACTTCCTCACAGCAAGAGAGCCCAAGCTACATCTGGCAGCAAAGCTCTTGCAGCAGAAGGACAGAGACTGTGATTCTGATTCAGCTTTGCTGTTTACAAGTCCCCTTTGTGCCCTCTGGAAAGGCTTTGAGCCTTGGCAATCACAGCGAGATAGTATTTATTTGTCAGACCTTGTCTTCAAGGGAACTGCAGATGCACTGTTGCCATGGGAATGCCATGTGGCCCTGCATCATGTAGTGGTCATCAGATTTTAAATGGGATATGCTCCAGTCTAACACATTATTAAAGACAGTATCTCACCCCTGAGTGAAGGGACAGAGCTACTGCCTGCACATCAAGCCACAAAAAGAACATTTGCCTAAGTTCTTATCTGACATCTACAATATGATCTCATGGAGAACTACAGGGAGGAACAGATGAGACTTGCATTCATGAGGGCACACTGGAGGTGAGCAGGACAGAGAGGCAGAGTTCCCAGTACCTCTCCAGCATACCTGCAGCACCACACAAGCCCAGCACCACTGGGGGGATGGGTGTCATAGAACCAACCAGGTTGGAAAAGAGCTTCAAGCTCATCCAGTCCAACCCCTTACCCCAGCACTGCCAAGGCCACCCCCTAACCCATGGCACCGAGGCCTCGTCTCCACGGGGTGTGAGCACTTGTAGGGCCGGTGCCTGCAGCCCTGCCCTGGGCAGCCTGTTCCAATGCCTGAGCACCCTCTGGGGGCAGGAATTGTTCCTCAGCTCCATCTAACCCTGCCCTGGTGCAGCTTGAGGCCGGTTCCTCTTGTCCCATCCCTTGTTCCTTGGGAGCAGAGCCCAGCCCCTCCTGGCTCCATCCTCCTGTCAGGCAGTTGGAGGCAGCCATCAGGTCCCCCCCGAGCCTTCTCTTCTCCACCTGAACCCTCCAGGTCCCTCAGCCCTTCCCCATCACACTTGGGCTCCAGGCCCTGCACCAGCTCCATTGCCCTGCTCTGGCCCTGCTCCAGCACCTCAAGGTCTCTCTTGTAGTGAGGGGCCCAAAACTGAACGCAGGACTCAAGTTGCAGCCCCACCAGTGCCCAGCACAGGGGAGGATCCTTACCCTCGCTGCTGCATCTGTGAGCACCGCTAAGGCCTGAGACAGCTGCTGGAAGATTTCCGCTGGGGATTAGAAGAAAAAAAGGGTGAGATGCAGAGAACCATGCTAGCGGCCTGGGGGTGAGCCAGGAATGACATTCCCTTCTGGAAGAGACCTGCAGAACAGCAGAAAGAATAACCTTTCCAAACCATGTGTAATGATATATACAGGATCACCTCAATAGACAACATTGGTTGTATAAATCAGTGTGAATTAAGAAACCAAAACTGGGACTATTTCATTGGAACAGAAACCTAGAAAACACGAATTCCACAGAACCCATCTACAGCAGCTTATCACTCAACCTGCAGCCAGCCTGAAAGCCCGGGTTGTAATCAAATCCTCCCTTTCACATCAACAGCTTTGCAGCCTAGCATTCAAGCTTTGCATTTTACAGTAATGTTGACAACCCTCTTCCTGGAAGAGTTGCACGTACAAGCTGGAGGCTTCCACACACACTTCAAATCACTTCTCAACCTTCTACACACCTCAAAGCCCGCAGCTTTCCTCTCACTGCTTCTAGAAGCTTGTTTCTCTCTTGTGAAATTTTAACCTGTATTCCAGCTGTAAGCTTCCAATCTACTGGACTGCAGCCCGTTAAACTGGGAAATGCAAAGTACAGAACCATGCTTATTTTGAGGTGTCCCGATGAACAGCATCCTTCATCCTTACCACGGCTGTTCACTGCCACCTGCAGCTAGGAACTGAGAGAAGCTGCACAAGCCAGATGCTGCTAACAGTTCAGGTATGCTCAGCTCTGCAGAGTCAGGGCCTTGTCTCTAACAGCTAAAAAACACACACTGCCCATAGATATGACTTACCAACTATCATACGTGATTTATAAATTTGCTGTTGAGGTTTTCACTAAGAGGTATGGATTAAAGCAGTGACCAGCCAGTGAACACTGGGGCAGCATGGCCAAAGGTCTGGGCTTCAAGTACCACCTGGGAAGGTTTGGGAGGTGCAAATACAATCGCAGCACTGCCTTAACGCTGATGGTCCCCAGGCAAACATGACTGCATTCAACCCCAAACCCAGAGCTCTCCGGCAGCGACAGAAGAACTCTTAGTCCTGCCTGTGTGTACTTTACATGACAGGTACCCAGGTATTCCCTTACTTAGACACACAGGCAGACCTGAAGCAAAGCAGAGCTGCTTCCAGGAGCGTGCACACGTGAAAACAGACACGAGCTGGTGTTTGTGTCTGCACAGCCCCATCTCACCTGCCCTGGGGTTGTCCGGGTCCTTATCGGGGTGGCACGTCAGGGCCTTCTGCCGGTACGCCTTCTTCACCTGCAAGAGCCAGGGGTGACAGTTACTCATTGCTCTGTGTTGAGAAAAGCAACCTGGGCATAAAAACCAACAACACTACAGAGAGAAAGAAAGACTGTTCAGAGGGTTTCCTTTGTTGGTGGTTTTGCTGCACTGAAAGCACACCTCTCCATGCAAGCAGAAGGCTGTGCTTGAACCAGCACTCATGTGCATGACTTGATGTCCTCCAGCCCTGACCGGAAATAAAGACCTTTGTAGAGTACCGATAGCCCCAAACCCCCTATGTTGGAGGGTAAAGCAGGCTACTGTGACAGCGAGAGACCTCCGAAATGCTGGGTTTTCAACCTCAGTGCAGCGACTTGGCCTTTTTAATCACACTGTACCATGAGGACACGCGCTGGAGCCCAGCACACTCCGTTGGCAGCTGTATCTTGAATGGGTCTCAGCTTCTCAAAGCCAGAAGTTTCACTTGTACGTGCATTGTGCTGCAGCAGTCAAACCTCAGGATCACCCCAGCCACGTCTGGTTCACCGAGGCAGAGGGATACCATGCTCTTTTTTCCGCTGTACCTTTGGGCCACAGCAAGCACCATTCACTGTACAATTGACTTTGGCAAGGTGAGGGATTTTTGACCAAAGACTGCTTAATGCCTTCTACGCTTCAAAGAAACACTGACAGCTTTGAGCTTAGTCACTGTTATCAACCTAAGTCCCCCTTGGCAGTGAGCAAGAAAGGTCGGGAAGAAAAAGCTGCTCCCTTCCATAGCCAAAGCACATTCCTCTGCTAAAACAAGTGGAATTCTCGGTGCCCAGCACCACCCCGTGGACAAAGCTCTTGTAAGGGGAATGTGCACTAAAGCCCTCCAGGCTAATCCCCGCTCCTGCATAAGCAGGACTGCAGTTAAGAGCCAGGTAACTCTCCTGTGCATCAGTCACAACTATTCCAATAACAAAAATATTCCACAGGCCAGCACAGATAAGGCTTCTCTGAACAGTGAGAAGAGAAGGCTGCGTGGAGACCTCATTGCAGCCTTCCAGTATCTGAAGGGGGGGCCTATAGGGATGCTCGGGAGGGACTCTTCATTAGGGACTGCAGTGACAGGACAAGGGGTAACGGGTTCAAACTGAAACAGGGGAAGTTTAGATTGGATCTAAGGAAGAAGTTCTTTCCTGTGAGGGTGCTGAGGCACTGGAATGGGTTGCCCAGGGAGGTTGTGAATGCTCCATCCCTGGCAGTGTTCAAGGCCAGGTTGGACAGAGCCTTGGGTGCCATGGTTTAGTGTGAGGTGTCCCTGCCCATGGCAGGGGGGGGTTGGAACTGGATGATCTTAAGGACCTTTCCAACCCAAACTGCTCTATGGCTCTATGAAATGACATCGGCAGCCTTGCTTCCCCTTGCTGCTCTCTTTTGGCCATGCAGCTCTGCATACAAAGGGTTTTGAGGCTGATCCAAGCACTTTCCATCAAAGATTAACACTCAAAATTACACCCATCACTCCCTAAAGGTCCTTTCCCTCCCCTCAGTGACCAGCTCAGCAGCAAAGCTGAGGTCACCCCAGGTCTTCCATCTCCTTCAGGCCTGGGCATCTCATGTGGCTTGGTCCCTTGTTTTGGGCTTCATCCCCATGGCATTTCCAGGCAGCCTCAGGTTAGGCCCAGGCTGTAGCTCCCAGCCTGGCTGCTACTGCTCTTTACTGCTGCAGAAAGATAAAAATACATACAAATGAAGCCTAAGGAAGAAAACTCCAAGACCTCCTTTCAAGCTGTTTCGTTACCAGTAGTTTTACTTCCCTTCAGGCGTCCCTTTCCCAGCTCAGTTGCCCGAATCTTGCATTTCCCGTGTTTCCCTTTAATTTAATCGGTGAAGCAAGCGGAAAGGGGTAATTCCAAACCTACAAGGCCAACACCATGGATTACGGGAACCGGCAGTACCCAGAGCAGCCTCTAACAACCGGCACCGGGGTCAACACGGGAGCTTCCGTCCCGAGCGCACCCGAGCAGGCAAACACAGCCCGAGCCCAGCACTGCAGCTCTCCCCAACCGAACCCTTCATCCTCCGAAGCCAGGCCTCGCTCCACGGGACTGAGACAGGATAAACGGGAGGGTAAAGGGAGAGCAGCAAAGCCGCCGCCACTAAAACCGGCTTCCCCGCTGAGCACAGCCCCGGCTCCCAACTGGGGGGCACCGAACGGAGGCCCCGGGCCGAGACCGCCTGTGGCGGCACCCGGCCGCTGCTCTGACCTCCTTCTCCGACGCCTTCTCGCCGACCCCGAGCAGTCCATACAGGTCCAGCTGCAGCAGGTCCTTACCGACCGCCATCGCGGCGCTCCCCGCCTGCTGCGGGGCCGGGCCCGCACCGCCGGCCGAGAAACGGAACCTCCCCTGACCACAGCACCCGCTGCAGCGGCGGCACCGCGACTACATATACCAGGATGCACCGCGACTACATATACCAGGATGCACCGCGACTACATACACCAGGATGCACCGCGACTACATACACCAGGATGCACCGCGACTACATACACCAGGATGCACCGCGACTACATATACCAGGATGCACCGCGCCCCCGCTGCCGCCGCCGCGGTGCTTGCTGGGGATGTAGTTTCCTCGGGGCGGCTGCCAGCGAGAGGGAGCGGCCGAGGGACTACAGCTCCCGTCGAGCTTTGCGCCGCGGGAAGGAGGGCAGGCGGAGCGCGGTGTTGTCGGGGCTGCGGCGGTGCGAAGGGAACGGGAGCTCCGAAGCGGACCCTGGCGATGCGCTGGCCCCGGGGAGGGGCGGGTGTCCCCCGGGCAACGTGTCCTGGGGCAGGTCGCTGGTGCTGTGAGCCCCACTGCGGTCCCTTCCGAGCCATCCCGAACTAGGGTCCTCCGGGGAAAGCGCTCATCCTTGCTGACTGATGGCTTTCAGACGGCTGGTGATGGATGGGAACCTACCCGAGAGCTGATCCCCGCTCGTGACAGTGGGACACATAGCAGTATGGGTTTGACAGAGTGTATTTGGTAATATCTGTGTGCATTGTGACTATCTGTTGGAAAGAGGCAGGAAAACAGGAGGGTGCTGCTGTTCTGTGACCGTCACATCGACCATTCACACCTGGCCAGCGCTGTCAGCATGGACCGCAGTGACCACAAGGAACTGCACGGCCACACGAGTGAACACTGGCAGAGCTGCCATAAAGCCCGTTGTGTTTCTAAGGGTACAAAAGCAGGAGCCTCTTGCAGCCGAATCCAAATCTCACCTCCGGATGGGTGCACTGTGTAGGAATCTTCCCAGTTCTCTGAGACTCCTGGCATCAGCTGGGGACTCGGGTGACATCACGGGTGACATCACAGGTGACATCATAGGTGACACAGAGACTCTGGTGGCATCACAGGTGGCACAGGGGCTCTGGTGACATCATGGGTGACATCACAGGTGGCACAGGGGCTCTGGTGACATCACGGGGCTCCAGGGACGCGGGGGCAGGGTGGGCAATGGGAAAGGCAGGAGGGGGAGCTGAGGCTCTGTGCTCTTGTGCTGGGGTATTTAGACCTCCGGCTTTGTGTCATAGGGGGAGCGCGAGGGAGACTCCTCTGCACAGCCCTTCCTCCCCAGAGCCCTGCACGGGGCAGAGGCTGCACCATAACGGCACCAGCAGCACTTCCTTCAGGCTGGGCAAGGAGATGAGCTCAGGACACGCTTCTGTCTGCAAAGCAGAGGAATAAACATGAGCAGAGGGTTCAGCATCACAGGAAAGGAGCCTTCTCCTTGAGACAAGAAGCGGGGCCTCGAGTCCCTTATCCCCAGGCACACCCTGACCTCGGACTCTTTGCAAGGTCTTGGTTGTTGGCCCTTGCTGAGCTGCCTGCTAAGACAAGATCAAGGGGTGATTCCTAAGACGGGCCAGTGTCCATGCAGTGGTTCCAAATGAAGCCATTGGAGACGGGTTTCTTCAGTGCTTGTCCCCAGCAAGACGCGTGCTTGGGGACATGAATGTGCCGCAGGACACAGGAAGTGAAGAAAGATGAAGGGGCTGGAGCATCTGTGCTCCGATGAGGGGCTGAGAGAGCCCCTTCCTCTCCCCCCCTCTCCAGCCCACAGTCACATCCCGCTCAGAGGTCACAGAAAGCGACTGCCGCATTCAGGCTAGAGCGAGGCTTTATTTGCACTCTGGTTGTGTAACCGCGGTCCCTGTCCTTCATCTTCTCAGCCTTGTCCCTGCCAGGGCCACTTTGAAGGCCCCTCCTGGGCGCTTTCTGCCCTGGATTCAGCTGGAGTAGCGGAACTGGCTCCATGCTGTTTGCTGCCACCACCAGTATTGGTCCTGGCTGGGGCTGTGCCACTGCCATGTCCACCTGTCCCTAGGCATCCACACTGGAACCGCCTTGAGGGCCTCCTGTGTCCCTGGGTACCCTGCGATGGGGGCGAGGGGCCGGCTGCTGGCCTGCAGCCCTGCCCCACCTGGCTTCTTCCCGGGCACGGGGTGCAACTGCAGGGGCACGGCCCTGGGCAGCGGGCGGGAGGCGAGGGGTGCCCGGTGCTGCTGGGGTGCGACCGGAGCTGTCTGGCACCACGCTTTGAGGCCGGCGCCGTGGCCACGAGTCCCGTTCCAAAGGTGTTTGGGCAGGGACCGGTGCATGGCCATGGAGCCCTGCACAGCTGCCGGGGGCCGGAGCTGCTCCATCTCCAGGCGTTTCCTTGCAGTGTGTGCCTGGAGTTTGCTGTGCACCCCCTGGCTCAGCTCCGGCCTGGAGATGCGAACAGCCACCGAAGCACTGGGCTGGCTCGTGTCCGCACGGCTGGCCTCCCGCCTGCTTTGGGGAGCGGTGAGGTGGGTCTGACGGCCGACATCTCTCCTTTGCGGGCCTGAAGCTGGTGCTGGTCCTTTTGCCGCTTCCCCTGCCTTGTGGGCTGGCTTGGGAAGGGCTGGCTTGGGAAGGGCTGGCTTGGGAAGGGCTGGCTTGGGAAGGGCTGGCTTGGGAAGGGCTGGCTTGGGAAGGGCTGGCTTGGGAAGGGCTGGCTTGGGAAGGGCTGGCTTGGGAAGGGCTGGCTTGGGAAGGGCTGGCTGGGCTGAGGATGAGCCCCGAGGCCACGGGAACGGCTCCCGCTGCAGCAGCTGTCCACGCGGGTGAAGGAGGTTCTGAGCGGTGCCGGTCTCTGGGGCTGGTGCTGGGCTGCAGAAGCAGAGGGCACCACCAGGAACGTGCAGGCGCGACTTCAAGCTGTGCTGGCCGGGCAGCTCCTGCCGTCCCTCCATGGGCTGCCCCGTGGCGCTGGCCTGAGCCAGGGTCCGGGCCTCCCATCTGCTGTGCTCCCGAGGGAGCTGCAGGGCCGGAGGCATGAGCAGTGGGGGAGGGCACGGCACCAGCAGATTCAGGGACTCCTCGGTGGGGTTGGGGTCCCCCCACAGCTTCCGGACTTCCTTCTCTTGGATGGTGTCCGCGATGGCGTCTGCCTTTGCCTGCATCCAGGGCGGCATCCTGCGGCGTGGTAAGGGCCGGCTCTGCCCGGGCCGGATGAGCTTTGGCAGGACACGGCGGCCCTGCCGCTGCACTGCCTGCTCCTGGGAGAGTTGCACCAGCACGGGCAGGGCCCCCAGCTGCACTTCCAGCCTTTTCCTGGCCACGTGCATCTTCAGTGCTGAGCTGGCTCCCTGGGCACACAGGGACCCCGGGGAGGAGGCAGAGCCCAGCCGCACGGGGCTCCCTGTGTCCAGGCTCAGGCAGGCATCCGTCGGGCTCTCAGGGCTGCCAGGTCTCGTGGAGAAGCCGGAGGAGCTGCGGCTGTGGCAGGAGAGGCAGCCCCACTTCCACAGCGCCCGCAGCCCCCTCCCCGCTGCCTGCCAGGTGCCGTGGTCCTGTGCAGGCACTGAGCCCATCCCCAGCGGCGGTGACAGCGGCACTCGCTGCAGCTCCCAGGCAGCCCCGGTGCAGTGCGCGCAGCCGGGGCAGATCCCACGCTTGCCACGGGCAAAAAAGAGAGAGAGAGAGAGACAGTTGTCACCCTGTGGGAACAGAGCAGAGCACAGGGCCCTGCCAGGGAGGACCCCATCAGCACCCACCCGAGTGACCCCTGGCTCTGAGCAGCCCCTACCTTTGGCTGTCGGGTGATGATGAACAGGATGGTGCCCACAGCCAGGATCAGGATGCTGAGGCAGAGGAGGGAGTCGGGGTCTGTCATTGTGCAGGCCCCGAGAGGGACGCAGAGCAGGGCGCAGCGGGGTGTGTACATCGCAGGGACGCTGCTTCCCTGCTCCCAGTTCCTGCCTGCCTGCTTCGGAGCAGTCAGGCACTGTCCTGCCCTGGGAAGAGCAAAGGTTTGACCAGGAGCGTCACATACAAGAGCAAGAGCTGCAACGGCATTAGCTTTCGCTTTAGGACAAGCCCTGACGTGGTGGGGTGTCGCACAGGGGGGTTGCTGCAAGGCCCCCCCAAAGGAGCTGCTCTACAGTTCTGTGCTTCTCCCTTTTCTCCTCCTCTCCCCCTTCCCTTTCTCCTTCCTTCCCCATCAGCCTGGCCATTAAGAGACCTGAGGAAACCTGTGCAAGCTTTCCTGCCCCTGTGCAGCCTCCCAGCCTTTACTCACGCGGAGCAGCTCTGCTCAGCCCCGTGGGCATCCTGGCCCTGTGCCACGGGTCCAAGGCTCTCCCTCTGCAGAGTGCGCATCTCTCCCCAGGGAGCTCAGCACACAACGCTCGGCCAAAGGAGCCTTCCCCCCTGGAGCCTGCAAGGAGCCTGCGTCTGCTTTTGGAGCCCAGAGCCCGGTGATGTCACTGGGGGCATTGTGACGCTGCTGACATCGCCCCTTGGGAGCCCCGGGGTGCCAGCGCTGTCCCTGGGGAGCTGCCCACGGGGACAGGGCGCGGGGCACCGCTCCCAACCTGCCCCGCCCTCCCCGCCCCTGCGGCCAGGCCGGGAGCCGCTTTCCTGCCCCCTGTTCCTGCAGGAGAGGTCAGTGCCGGGAGCGGGAGCGCTCGGAGATGCCCCCGGTGCCGCTCGCCTGCCCCGGGATGGGCCCTGGCTCGCTCCAGGCAGCGCGGGCAGCTCCTGAGGCTTCTGTGTCTCAGGCCGGGGCTGCCCCCAGGCAGGGCTGAGCTCCGCATGGCTTTGGGTTGCAGGGAGGTGGCGCACGGGGACCACTTGGACAGGGGCAGCTCTTGCCCTGCCAACAGAGGCAGGGGTCCCGGGTGGCACCGATGGAGGCGTCTGAGGAGCCGAGGGGCCAGGAGCCCCGCAACGATGGAGTCTGCCCGGGCTCCTGCAGGCACTGCTTCTGCTTGCCCTGCATCCAGGAGTGGGCCCGCAGCAGAGCCGTGTGCCCAAGGTGCCAGTGCTCCCTTAACCACATCTTCCCCATGCGGGACGGCCGCATCCATGAGGGCCATGAAGAGGGCAGGGGGAGACCCTTGCGCCGCCGGTCGGACGGGAGGCGGCCGTGCGCCTCCGGCCCCTG